TTGTTACCAATTCAAGTATTTTGTGTGTTTTTGTACCATCTAATGATAAGATGTTGCCCATCTGCATTACAACTAAGGCGTGGTACGTACAATTTTGACAAATTCTCATATTTATTGCGTATTTGTTACCAATTCAAGTATTTTGTGTGTTTTTGTACCATCTCACGATAAGATGTTGCCCATCTGCATTACAACTAAGGCGTGGTACGTACAATTTTGACAAATTCTCATATCTATTGCGTATTTGTTACCAATTCAAGTATTTTGTGTGTTTTTGTACCATCTCATGATAAGATGTTGCCCATCTGCATTACAACTAAGGCGTGGTACGTACAATTTTGACAAATTCTCATATCTATTGCGTATTTGTTACCAATTCAAGTATTTTGTGTGTTTTTGTACCATCGATACTTTTCTTCAAAACCCTGGTATCGATAGTATCAAGTATTTGGTATCGATATCGGCCCATCCCTAGTTCAAAAACAACATCACGCTCTAAATATAGTAACACGCTATAAATATCGTAGGTACTAAAGTAAGGAACGAACTACAACCACCTATAACCACCTACAACGACGCTACAACGATCTACAACCACCTACAACGACCTACAACGATCTACAACCACCTACAACGACCCTATAGCAATCCTACGATCCGTGTCGTATGTATTAAATATTTTCCGAAATTTTAGTATATTTAATGGCTGTGAAGCAGCATGCCATGTCGCACGGCAAATTACAATTTGGCGCGAAGTGCCGAAGTGTCCCGAAGTAAATGAAAATTTATAAATATCATCACTCATAAGTCGTGATCGCCATAATCTGCGATCAGGCCTATACAGGGTGTATAAAAAAAATCGCAACCTCGGAATTTCCCAAGAAATCGACATTGTTTTAAAGACAAAAGATTTTAGGCGCCTGGGAATTTAAAATAGCATAACTGTCAAAATTACTGCACACGCGAGTGCATAAAGCAAAATTTATGCATTTATTTAATGCACAACAACAGTAATATTATCTATTAGCAATTCTATTTCAATTCCCAGGGGCCTAAAATCTTTTATGCTTAAGAATTGCAAAGTGATTTCTTAGGAAATTCCGAGGTTGCGTTTTTTTTATACACCCTGTATATAGGATAATGCATGAGCTCCGACGCGCGAGGTATTATTTTTAAGAAGGCCGAGGAGTTCGTGCATTATCCAATTTAATGCATATTTTCATTGTTTTTTTGTTCTATCTCATTAAAAATAAGACCTGTTCAAAACAATGAAAATATGCATTAAAAATAAATAAATAGGCCTCAAACGTATTTCGATTGTAAATCTGATTTGTCTATGAGACAAAAGATTTTTTAATCTGTCATTTGATTGGTTGGTGCACATTCCCCCTGTACCCGAGTGCTGATATTGAGGAGTACAAAAGAGAGCGTTATCAATCATTGACCCGAGTAAAACCTATGATGCTAATATTGGGTAATTGGCGGTTTAACCACCTTACATAACAGACGTCAAGAACTCTGCGATAACCAGTTTGAAAGAATCTCAGTACCCTCGCACTAACTCTTCAGTCTTTTATAACCGCCAAGACATGGCTCAAATCTAAATCTTCGTAAGTACCATGAGTATGATCTTCCACGAATTCACTTGGACAGATTCAGACACTCCTTCATCCCAGCAATGTGGGCGAAAAAGTTTTTAAAGACGTAATTTTAACATTTAACTTACAACTCTATAAGATTTATTTAAAATTTTTTTAAGTTCCTAGTTTGAGTATTCTTATTGTAATATATATTAATCATTACATAGTTTAACTTTTGACATTTCCAATACATGTAATATTCAAACTACGCAATTCAGCCGGTTGGCTGCTATGTAATTTTTCTTTTAAATAAACTATCTATCTATCTATCTATCTACAGTATCTATCTATCTATCTATCTAGATTATACTATTCTTGTTAATATATTTTACTATATTCGATTGTTGTTGTCGTTGTGTGAAATTTAAAGTTTCTCCTGCGACAGTTTGAATATAAACTTTGCTCAGGCTATTATTTGTAAAATAGAACCTGATACTTAGGTTATGATCGCCATGCATCGCAACGTTCAACATAGTTCGTTGTAAGTCGTTGTAGGGTCGCTATGTAGATCATTGCAGGGTCGTTGTAGATCGTTGTAGGTCGTTGCAGGGCCGTTGTAGATCTTTGTAGATCGTTGTAGGCTCGTTGTAGGTGGTTGTAGGCTCGTTTTAGGTGGTTGTAGGTGGTTGTAGATCGTTGTAGGTGGTTGTAGGTCGTTCCTTACTTTAGTACCTACGCTATAAATATACTATCTTGTACAAAATCTTATAACTTTACAACATATTGAATAAAATATGAGAAATTATACGTTAAGATGACTTGAAAACTGCTACAGTTCAACAGAATAACTATACATTCCACACTGCAACAAAACCAACCTTTTACAGAAATAGTAGCGCCATCGCGACGATCTTTGATCGGTTGAAATTTGTAGCGGTTGAGGTCGCGACTATCAAAATTCAAAAATTGCAATAATTGTCAAAATCAACAGTAATTGGAAACGTTATTATTATATTATTTGAAACTTTGAATTTACCGAAAACCTTGACACAATCTGCAACGTTTAAGTAACACATATTGATCGGATAAATTCAAAAATTGAAAAAGATATAACAGAAATTCAAATGCATAATCCGTTAGGTGAGGCACCAATTTCAAAATATTTTAGTACTGGCAATAGCGATATTAAAACCGATACATACAGATTGTAAACTGCATGTAGAATAAAAAGTCGTTTTATTATTTTAAAACTCACAGACAACAAATAAAACAGTACTATGTCTATGGTGAATGTAAAAGGCGGAATGACATTGCGGAATAGCATGCGGAATGGCCTGCGGAATGGATTGCGAAAAGAAAAATGATGTAAATTTCGCGACATTTTTTACCAGTGATACAAAACATCCAGAGAACTTGATACTCAAACACATGGAAAGATATCCAACTGGTGATCCATACCAACCTGTGGCTTACACTGCACGTAAAGAAAGGGCACACTATTATCATGCGATATTAACTTGTGTAATGAAGAGACATCCATATTTTCAACCTCCCATGGTTGATTATTCAGAGGTGCAGAATGTGCTGAGTGAGGCAAACAACTGAAATGAAGCTGGCTAGAGAAAGCAGGACATCTTTAAATCATTTTGCCATAGACGCATTGTCAATGATAATTCATATTGTGTTGTGTGGTGTTGGCTAAGATTGGTACTCTTATCTTGTGATTATACGAATATTTAATACCCAATCGCCATGTTGATGAAGCATTATGAAGGGCCTGAAGGCGCTATACTAACACTTTTTGCTCGAAATAATAATAAATCATTTTGTGTAGTAGCTAAGGCTTTATTGTAAAACGTTGGCCTTTACTGTAGAACGTTGGCCTTTATTGTAAAACTTATATACCTCCACTGGACCTTGTTGCCAGAGTTTTTAGTTGCGAAAATTATAGATTTTTTAGCGTTCGACAAATACATCCTTTCGATAATTACGTGTTTGGCCTGGAAGCCTCGACTGTCGAATCGTCAGCAAATCACCTTGCGTTTTTTCAAAAAAGTATTTATCACGACGTAATTATCGCCAAAAAAGTAATCATGATGTAATTATCGACAGGGTGTATTGAAAACGTGGAGAAATCACTCAGAAATACTGCCATAAGATTATGGCGCAAACATTTCACGTAAAAAATGTCGCGAAATTTACATCATTTTTCGTTCCGCAACCATTCCGCATGCCATTCCGCATGCCATTCCGCAATGCCATTCCGCCTTTTACATTATGCTACGCTTATTTACAGTTAACAAACTACAGGAAATGAAATGAAGTCAAATTAGTGACGTCGCATCACGCGATCTTCGCGCATGCTCGATAGAAGGTAGTTCGTTTGCTCGCAGTGGTTTCTCCTCAGCTCAGAAACCACTGCCAGCAGGGTAAGTCTGATCCGACTACGAAACAACTTTATCAATCCGATCCGATTTTGTTTCAAAATCCAAACGAATCAGATCAGATCGGATTTGCACACCTCTAACGCGCACCGTCAGGTCAGGAGAACGAGGGGGCCAAGGCAAATCACCCCGCGTTTACTGATCAGTCGGCCAGGAAATTGCCCCTGAAGATATCGAATAGTTGTGCTGGTTGTCAAAATTAGTTTAATAGGCCGTTTTTTGCTAATTTTCGACAACTTTGAAAATGTTTAATTATTTTCAAACCCAAATATCTCGGCCAAAACTGTGTTAAAATACACATAACATATACCAACATTTAAGTTGGACATTACTGAACTAAATTTTCTTGCTTAAGTGTAATAGCTCTTTTAATTTTTAAGTTATATTGAGTCAGAGAGGTGTACTTTTTTTGGGCCACCCGGTATAGTGTATGTAAGGGGAGGACCATTAGAAATCCCGGGAGGGGGTATAAAATTTTTGCCGCACGATTTTTTTTTCATCCCCGTGTCTCTGCAGGATTTTTTTGTGCATTTAACCTCTGCAAGAATTTTTTTTCAAGACTATTTGCACTTTGCTTGCACGATTTTTTTTCTTTGACGTAATGGCTGCGCGAATTTTTTTCCAGGCATTTTTCTTTGCACAAATTTTTTTGGGGGAATTTTCACCCCCCCTCCCGGGATTTCTAATGGTCCGCCCCTAAATACATATAAACACTGACCGTGAAAAGCTAAAAGTAGCGGTTTTGACCATTAAGGACAGCCTTAACGCACAGTCATTATTTATAGTTCAAAATTATATTAATAATTTTGAAAATTTTAAAGATATCTCAAGATATCCCTAAATCCTAACGTTTTATATTCTATTGTCACGATGCAAAAACAAACAAGAATAAATGTTAAATGCGGCCAAACATCACTGACGTCACATGCGCGTTCTGCTCTTGATTTGGCAGCATACTGAATAATCATCTACAAAATCACTTGTTAATTCCAACTTGAATTCCGGTTTTGTCAAGAAAAGATAGCTTTGATATTGGCCATAGATAAAACCCTCCAATTTCTACCGGCTCTTCGTTATCATATGGACCTAGTACCGGCGGTTTTATTGAACAATCATCTTTCTTGCTGACAACTTCAACTACAAGGTTTCCATGTGCAATTGATCCGTGTTTCGCTCGTCCATGAGCCCAAAAACTGTACCTGCAGGTAAAAATTCGTATATTACTACTAAAAATATATACGTTAAGATAATTATGCTATTTGTCATGATTGATTCGTATTCTGACGTATGCAATTATAGCAGACACTGCAAAAGTTATTTTGATATGGTCCTCTGCATGCGGCGGCAAACGAGGACACATATTTTCCCAGAAATCCTTTCGGCATCAAATGAAGTTTTATTTTCTGAACTTTTGAAAATATACGTACAGAAATACGTAAACCAAAACAGTAGGTTAAATTTTAAGTGGGTTATAGACTGCTTTGAACAAGGTCGCAGGAGCAAAATTCTTGTAGTTCAATTTCCCAGGAAATCGTATGCGTAACAACAATAGCTTGACAGTTTCGTGTTTTTTGTACACCCTTTAGATGGTATTCTTCTGACATTGCGTTGGTCATATTGGTGCCACAATTGAAATTTAAAAGCGGTATATAAATCATACCTTCTTTAAATTGTAGTGAAAGTCCATTTGAAGCAGCTAAACAAATCTTTTCGTCAATGATTTCAGAAAAAGTTAGTTGTTGGCCGGCATTTTTCGACTGAATGGGTGGGGGCGTTGCAGATTGGCTAATTGCAGCGACAAAGGAATGCCCCTGATGCTGTAATTGCGAAGACATGCTTGACTCTCCTGAACTTGGTTCTTCTAGGCTGGGGGAAAGTGCGGCTTGGGTGACAGATATCGCGTCCTCATGCATACATGCAGTTTTGTGGTGTCCTTGTAATGTCGATGGAGGCAAAAGTGGGTCAGCAGTTGATGAAATATCTGAAGATATTGGAGATGACGCCATGTTGCTAGCATTTGTTTCCAAGCAGCGCGACTCCAAAGTGAAAGAGAACGATTCTCTTCTCTCCCACAACTTTCTTTTTTGTTGTGTTCCGTAATGGTTTGGCTGTTTTGGATAACAACCCAATTCGTCGACAAGCTCAGACGGCAAACCATCGAACTTTAGCCCGAGAGATTGAACCTTCGAATACGGCAAAGGTGAAGACTTGCCAACTAATGTACCTAGAAAGCAATATACTCTTATATTATGTATTCTTAAACAAACGCATAATATACTCCATCAGATTAAATTCACAGCAGACATGTGCGACATGCTTAGTATAATTCTTAGTCCATTTAAGTATGTACTTTAGGGCACGTCCACATGCATGCACTAGTCTATTTTCGTAGCGTATTCGTATTCGTATTGCTTGAGGCAATTAAGCTATTATTCTCAATCGCCTAATAAACGGAGAACAATATGAAAACGTTTGAAACTTGGGAGGAAATACGAAAATATACTTACTATACTTTTTGTTAAATATAGTCCGAATCATTTGGTCGCTCACATTTTTCTTGTTATTAAGGATGGCTGAAATATGTAAAAGTAAGTACTACGTTTTAAACGAAAGCTTTGCCTTACTATTATTCTATACTCCAGGAAAACAAACACAACTACAACAATAACACAGAAACACGTAAACCAAAACAGTGCAGGGTTAAATTTTAAGTGTTAGCACTAAACCTGCTTTGAACAACCGGTCGCAGGGGCAAAATTCTTGAACAAAGGACCAAACACCAACGAAATTATGAGGATCCTACAAGAAGATCTAAACAGAGTAGCACAGTGGATGGAAAATAGCAGGCTTGTCCTAAATGAACGTAAAACGAAACTAGTGCTTTTTGGGACGAAACCAATACTTAATGTTTCAGGCGTTAACGTCGAAATCAATGGTAATGAGATCGAAAGAGTTCCTAAATTTAGTTATTTTGGGAGTAATGCTTGATGAAAATCTAACATGGTAAGAACATACGGAAGTGGTTTGTAACAAACTTGCTTTAAGAGATTGGGTCTACTATCACGAATACACTCATGCTTGACACTTGAGGCATCAGAGAGTGTACAACTCTTTGGTACTTGCCAGTTTTTCACTACGTGGATATTATTTTATCAGAGTTGTCTGTTGGATGCTGTTAAGATCTTCAAAGACTTCAAAATCGTGCAGCGAGGATAATACTACAGCAGTATAGTTCTAAAAACATACTCGCAGAAATGTGCATAAATGCATTTTAGTTTTTAAATGTCTAAATTATCTCGTTACCGTGTATCTGAGTGACTATTTTGTGAGGAATCATAGTATCCACTCGTATAACACTAAGAGGAAGAACGATCTGCATCTTCCGAAACCAAAGCTCACTCAAGGCAAAAGAACATTCACATTTTCTGGAACGTTACTTTATAACACGCTTCCAAATATAATAAAGAACGTCACTACTTTGTCCAATTTTAAGTATCTGATCCAGAAACATTCCTTTTAGACTAATATCATAGTTTTTGATATTGTTAGACATAGTCATACTATATAGTTTTGATGTGTTTAAATTACTTATATAATATCGTAATGTAATAGGTTGATACGTAAATCAGATTTAATTAGTTTTGTAACTATTATTACATGCAGGACCCCTATGGGATACCAGCAATTATACTGAATGAGCTACCCTGTTGAAATAAAGTGATTTTTACCATTTTAGATGATATTTGCGAAGTCCGTAACGGTATTAGGATATTCTTCCAGAAATTTCAGGCCCAATCTTGTTGCGGCATGGTTAATACTTTCACCGTCAAGACAGACAACCAAGCATTCCGCTCCATTGATGTTATCAAGTTCTGCAACCTACGTGTTGGGAACAAATTTCAATTAGTAAATCCACGACGCAACCACTGTAATGTTCCAAATTTTCGTTAAATCACATGATTGTGAATTTGGTAAACGATCATGTTGATGGTACAGTATATTTCACAATACTTTTACAATACTTTATATAGTGTAGGCTTTACCCATCCAACTTGCATGGAAAATTCACACTTACTAATAAATACTAAACCCCTAGCAGCTTAAGTCGCTCCGCCAATGTTATCCAATTTTGAAAAGTGATATAAAATGAATGGTACCAGTTGGTGGATGCCTTGTGTTGATGATTTTTAAGGTCCATAAGGTCTCCCCAAGGTCCAGAAGGTTCGCCTGTAAATTGGATCATGCTTATATACTACTGAAACTTATTACAGTCAGAATTGATTGCCAAATTAATAAATTTGATCGAAATTAAAAACTTCTATCAAATCTATTTAATTTACCCTTTTACAGCATTTAAACTTATGCCATCCATGATATGGAAAGGAGGGTGGGCAGGTCATGATTAATATTGATTATCAGTTTTACAGTAATAAATTATATTTTATTCAATTTAATCAACTAAGAATGGTTGCACAAAGAGGTCGATTGGTTTAATTGTTTTAGTATAACTTACTAGTACATTACTTGTACAAAGCGAGACTCCCGGGCCAAAAGAGTATTCATACCGTAACTAATTATCGAAAGAGTGTATTACAAATGTGTGTAAAATGGTGTATGATAAATTCGTATATTTAACAATTATTCGCCAAAAGCGAGGTGATTATCGGTGAATAAAAACCGAGACAAAGTCGAGGTTTTTATTCACGATAATCACCGAGCCTGAGGTGAATAATCGCGTTATAATCACCTCAACAGCAAAGAATTTTCAATAATCACCTACGTAATTATATTAATACTGCGTAATCACCTCTTTCATTATGTTTTTAACAATTCTTTTACTCCTCTGACTATCAGTTAAGCCTTGGACTGAATCTTTCAAATTCCGAGCTTTTTCTCTATAATCTTCCTTTTGGCTATCTGTCAGGTCCTTCCACCTCGTACCTAGTTCAGAGAACTTTTGTTTCTTGAGGGCGGAATCTCCTACATTTACATAATACAGATATAAATTAAATAGCATATTAAATAAATGTGTCACTGTTTGTCAAAGTATAAAAATACAACATTTATCTCAACCAAACATCCATGAATATTTCTGTATGATGCTAAGCTTATACTACAGTATGCATGTGTATCACAGAACTTGCAAAAAGATTATCAGACTTTTTCCAGCAATTACAAGCTTTACAATAACACTAACTTTGTACAGTGTGTATACTTATTAACCCATTAACATGCACATTGGTGTAATAGTTAGGGGTGCACGGTTAGGGGCGCACGGTGCCGGTTAGTTCCGGCCAGAACCCCGATATTTTAGAGTTCCGGTTCCGGCCGGAACTAATAAAAAAAGCATGGCCGGAACCGGAACTCTGTCGTTTTCAGAGAGATAGAATATCAAACGTTTGTGTGTCTAACAAAAGGTCACAGTAGGAAGAAATTTGGACTACGCAAGGGAAATGTACACTATTAACACTTCATTGTGACATTTAACGTTTGTCAATCTTTTTATTCTAACATTTGCGAGCTCTCTCCTTGATGACTTGAAGTGTCTGCCTGTCTGGCAGCGGACAAAGTAACATATGACTATATATGGCTTAATAAATTAGCTCCGGTTCCGGCGGGAACTTTTTTCCAGTTCCGGTCGGATCCGGTTCCGGCTGGAACTTAAAAAACTTGTTCCGGTGCACCCCTAGTAATGGTGTTATACCGTGCAATGAGGGGCATTACGGTTATAACAGTTGGGTAAATACAGTCGAACCTGTATGAAGGGGTCACTCTCTGGGCTTTTGCAGGTGATCGCTTAATACAGGTTGACCGCTTAATACAGGTTGACCGCTTAATACAGGTCTTAGACTTGTCGAAAATCACCACATGGTTTAAATTGCTTGAACTGAAAATACTGTTGACACTTTCAGTGCTTACGAACGCTTGAGTAATGAGATAAACAAAACTTAAAGACTTTGACATGTTGCTGAATAAAAATTAATTGTATATTGTATTATGTTTGCTGTAGTTACTTCGCACTGACAGTTTAAAAAAGTTTCAAAACAATGGAAAATTAAGCTTGGGACTGTGGAAAAGGTCCACTTAATAGAAGTGACTGTTCAATAAAGGTCACTTAAATAGTATTTATATAATGAAAGTTTCGGGACTTTGCCACATGACCGCTTAACAAAGGGTGACCGCTTAATACGGTTCAACTGTATCTCCAAACTGTCAGGTAAATATCTTAGAGCTGCTCTCAATGAATTATTTTCTATTTACTATTATTTTCTAAAGTTTGGAAATATTTAACGTGCAAAAATGTATAAACCAAATAGCTAACTAGTGGTTTAAATCTTAACCCTAGGTTAGTGCTAATTCTGCTATGCCTATGAAACAACCAGCCACTGAATGTACAGTATCTGTTTATTTCAAAAATTTAAAAATATAATTGAGATCTATTTAGAAAATAAAACTTAATTCATTCAAGGTTTCTGGGAAAAAAATACACATCTGTAAAAACAATTGAAAAAAAAACCAAGGATTAAGCTAACTAGCTTTCAAGCAACCAGCTCAAAGGGGAAGACTATATTAAATGGAATTAATGGGTACATGTATCAATGCTACATAAAATCATTTCTGTAATAATTGCAGGATGCAGTTTCTATTAAATGTGATTAATGTTTATAATGTAATGTAATGTAGACAAATAGAAAATGCCTATTAATTAAAATGCCTACAGTTTTTCCAACAGTTCTAACTTATTTGTTGTATTACAGAACATTAATCCTTCAGTGGATATACCTTCGGTCAGTTGTTCCTTGGCAAAAACGTTATAGCCACTTCTCTTTCGAAGTAAACTAGCCTTAGCAGCATTTTGTCTGGGTTCAGCAGATAATCGTCTGCTTGCTTTATAATTACTTATCCAGTTCTAAAACAAAGAAGTTATAATGGCATAAAATATTGAACACAAAAATGTTTGGCAAGGTGCATGTACTGTACTAACTGTACATGTACATTATGTCATAAACTATAATTGATATGACATTACCCATTGAGTGGCAGCACTCTCTCCCTGATGAGTAAAATGGTCTGGCATTAGACAGAGTAAAATGATAAAGTAGGGCCAATGGCATTGCCCCTTAAAGGATTAACCGATAGTAGGATTAACCATGTATGGGCCAATAGTCTGATTAACCCATTCAGTGGTAACACTCTGCCCCTGACAAGTAAGATTGTCTGGCGTTATAGACCGAGTAAAATAATCTGGTGTTATAAACAGCGTAAAATAATAAAGTAGGGCGGATCTGGATGAATTGCCACTTAAAGGGTATTACAGTTTTATTATGAAAACTGGTCAACTTGTCTCAATTAATTTAACCAACTTAACCAACATTAGGCTGTGTGGTTATTAAATAGTCATGCAAGCCTAAAGAAAAAACAAAATTAATTGTTAATAAATTTAGCCAACATTAGCCAGATCCAAGATAGGGGTACTGGATTCAACTTGGTTAGTTCCGGACTTCACACTAGGAAGAAATTTGGACTACACAAGGACAATGTACACTATTAACACTTCATTTGTCAATATTTTATTCTAACATTTGCAAGCTCTCTCCTTGATGACTTGAAGTGTCTACCTCTCTGGCAGCTAGCAGACAAAGTAACATATGACTATACATGGGTCAATAAATCAGTTCCAGTTCCGGCCGTAACTTTTCCAATTCCTGCCAGAACTTTAAAAATTCTTCCCGGTGCACCCCCAATCCAAGAGCATACTAACTCTGTATATACAGTAGTCCACTTAATCGCATAAATAGGGAAAATTTTAACCATAGTTTTAACTGTATATTGCATTACTATAAAAATACACACTACAGCAAGGCTAGCTCGGAGTAGAGAAAAAATACACTACAGGTATATATGGCTTGCCATTTTTGGCAGATGAAATAAATTTTAGTCTGCCATTTTTTTTTATTGAACTGCAAAAATGGCAATGTCTCATATAAGTCATATTGTAAAAATCAATGTTTTCATAATATGCATTTTTATTATTTTTAAACTTGTCTATTTTACTACAGTAAACTCAGATTTACAATTCAAATATAAACATACAGTATTTAGTCAACTTAATGATCTAGTATATACGAGTTGTGGTAAGCAAATAAAATGAAATTGATTCTATACAATTTCACCTGCCATTTTTTTTACTTTGGCAGTTGAAATTATTTTCTGCCTGTAATTTCTAAAATATGGCCTGCTTTTGGCCATTGGCAGCCCGCTATTTCGAGCCTTGCACTACAGGGATGCCGGAGCAGGGGATCCTGGGGGCCCTGCACTTGTCTCTGCAATAAATTTGAAAATTTGAGGCCCCTGTTTCATATTCTGTTTCGGCATTGCTGTCCAAAAGTTTTTTACAACAAAATGTCATCCTGGAACAATAGACCTTATCGATTATTCTCTTTTACCCAATGGTCTCGTTTTCATATCAAATATTTACTCATGTTTTGTGCTTAAAAGTAGGGTTGAAAATTGCTTTTTAGTAGGGTTGAAAATTACTTTGTTATTGAGTCTAAGAACAGCAGGAAACAAATTCATCCAGGAAAACACGGGAATATATAATCTTTATCTGCCCCTGACATGCTAAAATAAGTTAACATGGAAATGAGGCCATTGGGTAAAAGAGAATAATCAGTAAGGTCTATTATCCCAATGATTCCAGAAATTACCTAGGCATCTGAAATTGTCAACAATGTGGTAGAGAAAAATGCCTAGCTATTATATTAAATAGCTAGGCATTTTTGTCTACCACATTGACGACATTGGTTTATATTCAAGGCAACGTTTAACACAAAGTGCTTCTATTAACTTAAAGAATAATTTACACCAAATTAAAAAAAAACATCTTCAAAAGATTTATATGTATTATTAATCAATTTGAATGATTTGTGAATGGCAAACAGCCTATCAAATATATTAAAACTGCAATCTGTGCAATGGAAACCCAGACCAGCCTGCCCCGATGTTTCAGATGTTTGGTTGTTTGCTGAAATGAATGGCCAGCTAGCCTTTACGATTTTGCGAAATATATTATTGAACAGTGTACATAAATAATAAAACCTGCAAATATTTGTCGTGTAATATATATTTTATATAACTTACTTTTACTTGGTTTACTGAAAAGCCAACAGCACTAGCACATTCAATATGCAGCTCAGCCAAACCTTTCTTGGTTGAGTTCATTCCTCTGTCATAATAATTGACAAGAATTTGTTTTTGTGCATCTGATATTTCCAATCTTTCCAAGTCCATTATGAATAATTCAGTGGTTTAATACGAACAGTCAATTAGTCAAATATGGAGGCGAGATTTGAGCGCGTTTTTACAATTTTCGCGGTCGATTCCAGTCGATCCAGGCTGCTCTGGAGGCAGGCGCGCCAGCAGGTACAGCAGATCTTTTATTGACACTTATATACGTGTAATGAGAGATAATGAAAACCTTTTAGTATACGTGTAATGAGGTGCTAATCGGGTGGTTTGGAGGGACAAAAAAACAATATGCCGAATATGGCATCTAGGAAGTTTTCCTACATTCCTAAAGTTATTTGTGCAGACATTATTTGTGCTGATGCAACAATTATAATAAGGCATCTTTTAATATATATTTAGCTCGCTCACTATAACTTCTTGTCCCTCCAAACGTCTTCAAACATCAACTAGACCCAGTCCTCTGCTCGATTGGGAAATGGCATCCGGTCCTTATAAGCAGATACTAAAAGGAAATATATCATGTCGGCAGGAATATTATCATGCTTTAATAATTCTTATTTAATAGCATTTATTTACCATACTCTATAGCCAACATTTTTTATAAACTTAGATGCTGTCGCTGGTTTAAAATTTGCAGCCAATAACAACTCCTATGATAGAATATAAGAGCAAGCATAAGAACTACTACTTCAAGCTATCGCCATATCGGTTACTTTATGTGTGGCTTGACTGCATAAGTACAGATTTTACCCAAGCGTGCAACAAGAAATTAATGTGAATATTTACGATACCTTTTAAGTCACTACCTCTTGTACCCTAAATTGTTTTCGAAACTAAAATAAACAATTTTACAAAGTTTCTTTCCTGGCACACGTTCTTCACAAAGTTTCTTTCCTTCAATAAGAGCTGAATCTATTGATTCCTTGAAAAGGTTATAATCATTGTGGTAGTGCACTGGCAAAGTTATACTGAGATCACATGTTGACGCTGTAGGTCGACACCTGCACCGTTCCTGGCAACCATGCTTGTTCACTTCCAGTAATGAACTTATGTAAAACACTTAGCGTGTTACCATTGCTTTCTGTAAAGGAAAAATGATCGTTCAATATATATTCGGATTGAAATAGGCTACAGTACATTGAGCGTATCACTTATTACGTTAACTTATTCATGCAATGCCAATGGCTTAATATATTTATATTCTGAGGACTTAACACCTCAGAATACATCTTTTCACACGTCAAGAAAATGCACAAAACACGTTTGTAGTTTACCTTAGTATATTTAGTCAAGGTCATTTTTGGAAATCATTTTTTGTACATGAAAAAGTTTAGTTATAAAAGTTTATTGGTTTAAAAGTTTATTCGAATTTTATATACTGGCTGTAGTATGTACATGCATACCTTGCGATGAATCGCACTCGCAGTCTTGTAAAAGGTCACAAAAGAATTTGAAGGTGTCAACCTCTTTAATCTTGAGGTTGCTGCTATCTTCACTGAAATCAGGGATGATTTCATCTAACAACGTGTTAGCAGTTGGTAAGAACCTGGCAGCATACTTTTCCACAAAAATTGGTTTTCTTTCACAGCATCCATCACATCAAAGGAGTTTAACCCAACAATAAGTTGATCTAACATCGGTAAATACTTCGCAAAATCAAACATAACAATTGCCCTAAAAGAAATTAAGAAGTCAATTTAATGCATCATTTTAATACCTCTACCCATTTTTGTCTATTTCTTGTCCGAGCTATACAGGGAAGTTGTTCCAAAACCTAGTTCAAAACATGTAAATTTCAAACATTTCGTACGCGAACGTTATGCGTTCCGACGCTCGCAGTGGAAACCAAATGATCATTTCTCTAGCTGAAACGCTGTAAAATAAGATGATTATGCTACCTTATAATATTATCAGCATTCGATAACTTCTGTTTGGATGGGACTCCTCGGAAATGGATACTTTGCAGAACGTCCATCATCACTTCTTCTGACAATAGGTTTTGTAAATTTAAGTCACTTTTGAATTGTTTGATCTACAAAAGCAAAAAATGAACTATTGCATTTATCTATGCTACAACAATTTATTTAACCCTAAACTAAAGAGAAGTTCTTTGAATCCCAATAGAAATTGGTAAATAAACAACAGCGAGTCGTTGAAAATATATAGTATATTACATCCCAGTCACTAGTCAGAACGTGCTTTTTAGTGCAAGTGAATAAATCGAGTCTTCTAGCTAATAATCTTACCTTGTCAATAGCTCCTAACAGGCTTTTATCCTTCATGTAAGGATACCACTTCTCATTGGTAATGCTTGCAACACCTTCAGCCAAGTATAAATACGCAACTTCAGAAAGGAAGCAAGGAGCTGGCCCACCTTGTACAATTGAACCAGCCATCAGTTCTTCCACGACCGTGAACTTATTGCATCCAAGAGCAGTCATATCAGGAACTGGCAGACCATTTTCAAACATTTCATGTTTAATAGTTTGAAGTACGTCTGAATGTAAAAAGGTGTACTGTGAGTACAAAGGCTACGCTATGGCACAACACATTAAAACATCTAGAACGGACATTCCTTTGAAATGAGAAGTTAATGGAAAGTTTTGTCATTGTTGTTAAATGACTCACGTAAATCGCCCCACAGGACTAAAAAAAAATAAATAGATTCATATGAATAATGAAAAGGGGTCGACTACATCACAGGCGTTCGTTGACAGTTTGTTTATCCTGACCCTAATCCTTACCGCATACTAACCCTAACTGTATTGACGTAGGCTGACGTCATACATAACAAACGCCCGTAAGTTAATTAGTCAAATCGAAATCAAAAGGTTAAGTAACACAAACTGACAAACAAAATATATTGCAAACCTGAAAAGAACTCGCGGTGGGGTCCACCGTCGTCCGCGGCAGGTTCACTGACAAAGGTAACCTTTAATAGTCGTCTATTATTGAACCATGGCTTCTGAGAGACTGCCAGGTAATCATTAAAGATTTCCTTTCTTCTGACATTTATTCTGATTTTAACTTCCTGAACATTCGTCGCACATTTAGTGATCAGATCTTTCATCTTTTTCATTTGATCATCAGAAGACATGCTCTTAGCTTCCTCATTGCCATCAAAGCATAGTCCTGGAAAATCATCTTGATAAAGTTCACCATCTGACACATCACCAATTGGATCAAATCGATTATCAATGCAAACATTTGCATGAGTCTCGATAAGATCAATTGGAAATTTCCTAAAGCAAGAGGGACACACAGCTTCTGGTGTTTTCTTCTCATGCTTATCATCATCAATAATTTCAATAGCGTTATCCTTCATTTCCAGTTGGGGCACAAGTTCATCATCACCATCAGTCTCTTCGTCAGCAAAATCTGCAACCATCTCAAAATCAGTCTTACTGCAGAGATAGAAATAGATTTTGGAATACACTTTTCCCAAATCCTTTTTGTAGTCGTGAAGAATAAAATCCTTAATGCTTCCTGGCAATGTCTTGACAACGGAGTGGTCAGCATATAAAATAACATACTTATCATGTTTGTTGAACTGTTTAAAATGTTTTGAATGTTTCTCTAATGCTGCATTAATCAAGTCGTCTGCATTACAACTGGTCCGAATTAGTAATGGTAGGGTCCTTCCCTTTAGACGCTTCAGCCTTCCCTCTTCATCCTCAACAACACCAACTTGAACTGTTGCCACCTCTTGTGTTTTTTCTTTTTTTCTGAATGCATTTGGTTCATTCGAGATAACCTTTTCCTTTTCTTAAACTCATCAAAACTTAAGGTTGATTTGGGTGTTGACACAATGGCTGATGCAGAACTTGTAGTTGATACGCTACTTGTACTCTTTACGGTTGTGTTTGTTTCTTTTCCTACAGACACTGACAAAAAAGGAAATTGAGGCTCATGATTAGGTATACCTCATTACTTCAACCTATTTCTGTTTCAGTATGAGACAATATCAGTTTTATCACTTGGCAAATAAAAAAGCCATAAATGTTACAAGTAAGCACAATTATAATGAAGTATCTATGTCGGCCTTCATCTGGTCTGAATATCTTTCAAGTAGCAATCTTGTATCATGTAAAGTAGAGGTAGCAAATCTTTGAGTTAAGCCCCGACCACGCCCTTTCGAGTTAAGCCCCGACCACGCACATACCACGCCCATGCCACACCCATTTCCGTTGAGAGCTTAACTCGAAGTTAGGTACTTCGAATTAAGCCCTCTAGAAAATAGGGGCTTAACTCGAGCAAAGGAAAACATTTTGTTCTTCGAGTTAAGCCCGAACGTTTGAAAGATGTAAACGAGTTACAGTTAATCTGATCCCAAACAAATTAAATTATCAGTTTGGATCGCGTTTCGTTCAATCACGGTTCAATACGTTTTATTTCAGCCGACGTAATATATATATTAGGGACTTTAAGATTGACGCTTACGGCAAACTGCTAACCACAAACTTCGAATCGTAATTTGAAGTTAACTGTTAGCTGTTTTAAGTTAGAACAACTTGTGCATAAAAATTAACAATTATAACAATAATTATTATTTACTACATCAGTAATTATAATTATAAGTGTTGTTTTATGGTAATTTTTTTCATTTTCAAAAACAGTAGTTCAACGTTCAAACATCAATAGCACAGTCAATCTTGCATTCAATTGCTATATAATCAAAACCGAATGCATTATCGCTTTTATAGCTTTTACGTTACATGAAATCAAATAGTGTCCAGTTTTTTTGAGGGACACCCGGTGTTTAAGGTAGATTTGCATTTTGTGGGGCGATCGACATTTTGCGACCGCTTTCCGTTTTGAAATGTGTGCAGTCTAATGAAATCGTTCCATATAATGAAGACTTGAATAGTTGTAAGAACCATATAATGTGAAAGTGCATATTTCCACAGAAAGTGCATATTTCCACCAGAATTGGGTCTAAAACTATTGAAAATTAACTCCCTTTACTTTTTAGGACTTAAGTTGATGAATTGAACTGCAATAAAATTCCTGCGTATGCATAATTATCATAAACGTCTTATAAATTTTTAAAATGACACGTTCGTGATTAATTGCTAATGAAAAACTAAGTTAGTCCATTATGAATGCAATGATCTTTATTTCATTGCGAATCTGCGATAGCTTTTATAGCTTTTATGTTACATGAAATCAAACAGAGTCCGGTGTTTTTTGGGACACCTGTATACAATTTGATTCGACCTTTATTCCTTTATTAGCTAAAACTAGCTAAATCATAGTCCAATTTTTATGCACAAGTTGTTCTACCTTTGAACAGCTAACAGTTAACTTCAAATTACGTTTGCCGTTTGCGGTTAGCGGTTTGCCATAAACGTCAATCTTAAAGTCCCTAATATATATAATATGTCGGCTGAAATAAAACGAACCATGATGGAACGAAACGCAATCCAAATGACAATTTAATTTGTTTGGGATCAGATTAACCGTAACTCTCGTTTACATCTTTCAAACGTTGGGGCTTAACTCAAACAAAATGTTTGACTTTTCTCGAGTTAAGCCTCTATTTTCTAGAGGGCTTAACTCGAAGTACCTAAACTCCAGTTATGTACTTCGAGTTAAGCCCTCAACAGAAATGGGTGTGACATGGGCGTGTTCTGGGCGTGGTCAGGACTTAACTCGAAAGGGTGTGGTTGGGGCTTAACTCGCGTGCGCTGTGTGTGGCTGCACCTTTTATCGCTCTCGAGTTTTCCCCGAGCCGGCGGCGCGAAGCACCGTGCGAGGGTACTAATTCCCCCCCGGCTATTTACACCCGGGGAAACGAAAGCATTAGCGGAGTCTAAAGTTCATCAAATATCGCGGGCGTGGGTCACCAACGATGGGTTGTCATCCTCACTGACCTCAAAAATATGGCGGACTGTCATGAATAGCGGACACTGATTGGTCCAATTTAAAGTTTGCATAAACGACTGCATCACGTCAGCGAAATAGCAAACATTTCTTGATTTGATGATTCATGATTGATAAATTTCTTGCGAATATATTTCATTTTTACTCGCATTTTTGCAATATTTTGTAAATTTCAAAAGCTCTCGGAGAAAGAAACTGCGAAAGAATCGGCTAAAAGAAGGGAGCCGAAGTTAAGTTTGTTTTAAATATTGATTTTATAATGGCTTTAAAACCCGACGGCCTTTGCATACTGTATATGAAACAACTAAACAAGACAGAATATAATTTCAGTGTATCTTTAATATTGATTCCCTTTTGTATTATATTAAGCAAAGTTATTTGCAAGCGAGAATTTGAAATCATTTTTTTGCAAACTCAAAGTTTATCGATAAACCATTTTAATAATTAAAGGTAGTTAAGTTAAAGAGCACTTTAAAACGTTTTGCGAAGCGTTTGTGGTTGAATTTTACCTTAAATTGAGGCTTATATTACGTATAATAACATACCTAAGATATATATGTTGGGAAATTAATGATTTTGTAATTAAAAGTGATATTTTTAGGCGATTTTTCATTTGTAAGAATATTCTTAAAAAATTATCGTGTTGCCATGACAACTATTTTAGAACTTTGTGTTCGGAACATACAATAGTTTTGTCAGCAAGGCGAGGGTTTCTGCATGCATGTATTTTCTAGTAATAATATTAGTATCGTATGATAGTTTAAAGTTGTATGAAATGGTCCAGATCCGTCTTACTGTCTTACTCTAAGACTAAATATGACATTGAGTATGAAGTTAAAACGACACTTGAGGAGTTTCATATCGGGAAGGAATCTAAATGCACTAGGAAAGTTCAAAAGCCAACGCGACGTGGAAGGCGAGCTGGTAAGAAGAAAGTATGTTAACTTTATCAACAGAGAAACACTCAAGAATCAGAATATCGAAGTATTCCAGTTCGTATTACCGATCGAACTTATGGCGGGTTTAATCGAGATAAAGCTCTTCCTGTTAGACCTCAGTACTATAAATTCATCTCAACGAGGAAGGAAGCTAACTTGCCTTCGGTATTGCTTGCCAATGTTAGATCGTTGCATAGTAAAGTCGATGAAGTAGGAGTTGTTTCTCGTATAAACAATGTAAGTGTTGTGTGCCTGACTGAGACGTGGCTGGACGATGAAATTTCAGATTCGTATGTAAGTATACCAGGGTATTTTGTAATAAGGAGAGACAGAACGAGCACGGTGAGAGATCACGGCGGTGGAGTTTGTGTATATGTTAAAGAGGACATGCCGTGGAGGAGAATATTTCAGGAAAATGAAGTAGCGAAGGAGATAGAAAGTGTATGGATTCAAATAACACCCGTGCGAGCAATTAGAACTGGTAGTACTATCCTTGTAGCATGTATTTATCACCCAACTTGGGCTGATCAAGATCAAAATTCATTACTGTACGAACATATCCAACTAAATGTGGATACCTTTCTTGGTAAACACCCTTCTGGATTAGTTATAATAACTGGTGACTTTAACCCTACTTCTACTGGATTTCGGCCAGCCGAAGTTACACGTGCATGCTCTTTAAAACAGCGAGTGACTTTCCGTACACGGGATTCTGGCATTTTGGATTTGATTTTTACAAATAAGTCGGAATTATATGATACACCAATTCAATTGCCCAAAATTGGAAATAGTGACCACTACACCGTACTGATAACTCCCAAACAGCATCCAGGGCGGAAAATTGATAACACCCAATGATTTAAAGTGTATAGAAGAGATCTTCGAGAAAGCAATTGGAAAGCTTTTGGCTCTTGGTTGGTAAGAGAGTCGTGGCAAGATACCTTAAACGAGTCTGATTGCCAAAGTAAATATGATAATTTCATGCAGAAAATGAATAGCGCTATAGATTTGTTTCTGCCTTTAAAAAGATCTAAAGTGAACAAAAGCGATAAGCCATGGATAACAAATCAAATTAAGAAATGGATTAAGAAAAGACAAAAGGCCTTTTGTCAGTATGGAAAACTCTCTAGCTAGTATAAGAAATGGCGAAATAAAATTAGGGCGAAAACGAAAACATGCAGAAGAGACTTTTATGCAAATCAGATGAACGATTTTATCGGATCAAACATAAGTAAATGGTGGAAAACAATTAAGAAGTTAACTTGTGAAGTAGCCTCCCCTCCATGGAGTCAGTACTTAATGGGGCAAACCGGACATACAACTCCCTTGGAATTAGCGAATGAAATAAACACTTTCTTTTCGGAACTGACTAGAGATTTCCAGCCTTTAGTTCAGCCTCTAGATGTCCGGGAACTATTCGTGCCACCAAATTTAAAAGCCACACCCCACCAAGTACAAACAAAGCTGAATGCGGTAAACGGTAGGAAGGCTGTTGGCCCTGATAAGCTTAATAACAGAATCCTAAAAGAGTTTTCCCAAGAGCTTAGCGTCGTTCTCGCAGATATTTACAACACCACGTTAACTCAAGCCTATGTTCCTGACTTGTTAAAAGCGTCAACTATTGTTCCAATTCCCAAGATACTACCGCCAAAAACAATCGAAGAAGATCTTAGACCCATTAGCATTACATGTCAGATAAGTAAAGTTTTTGAAAGTCTAACCTTAGATAGATTAATGCCCGAAGTTGAACACCATATCGATACTAAACAATTTGCAAACAAAGGAAAATCAACTAAGGACGCCCTAGTGAGTATTCTACACAATATTCATACTGCATTAGATAGTGGAGATACAGCTGTTAGGATTTTCTTTACTGACTTTACAAAAGGCTTTGATTTAATTGACCATGACATTCTGCTCGCCAAACTTGCAAAACTCGGAGTAAGCGATGTCCTAATACGGTGGATTGCAGCCTTTCTAACAAACCGTAAACAACGAGTAAGGGTAGATGGAGTCCTTTCTGAGTGGAAATATCCTAAAGGAGGAATACCGGAAGGCACAAAGTTAGGCCCGTTATTATTTGTAATAATGGTTAACGACTTAGTTAAAAATTGGCCAGGAAGAGCAAAGTTTGTTGACGATTTAGTCGTAGTAGAAACAATCCCGCGGAACTCAATAAGTGTGATGGATTTGGTAGCAAGAGAAATTCAACAGTATTGCATGGACCATAAAATGAAGTTGAACCCCAAGAAATGCAAGGAGATGTTTGTAAATTTTATGACAAACCCGAATATATTAAGTAGGGATTTAGTCGTTAACGGTACCCAAATAGAATCCGTTGATGCGTACAAATTGTAAGGTGTTATGCTCGGAAGTAATCTTAAATGGAATACGCAGGTTGACGACAAAACAAAAAAGGCGTGTAAAAGGTTGTATGCATTAAGAGTACTAAAGAAGGCTGGATTGCAGGAAAGGGAACTTGTTCTAGTGTATAAGTCGATGATTCGACCTATTCTAGAATATGCTGTTGAAGCCTGGTTTGACTTCCCACAGTATCTAAGTGACAAGTTGGAAAGGGTACAGAAAAGAGCTCTCTGGATTACATATCCTGGTTGTGACTATGGCGAAGCATTAAAGATCTCTAAATTGGAAAGTCTTAAAGACAGGAGAGTAGACTTATGTAAGAAGTATATAAATAAACTTAAAGATCCGTCCCATACTCTACATCATTTAACAAAAACATACTATACGAATACACACGGTTATAACTTAAGATCAGGAAATCAGAACCAAATAGGTGTAAGAAAGATCCGGACTGATAGATGTAAAAAATTTTTAACATATAGATATAAATAGTAACAAAATTTCTATTTTATAATATTTGTTTCTTATATAGTATATTTATATAATTTTATTGCTTTGTAAATATTTTATTGTTAATATAAACTTGTAAATCGCTTACAATTTAATCCTGTAATTACAAGAAGCGAAATAAACGAGATATAATAATAATAATATATATCCTAAATATAAATTCTAAATAAATGATTATCTAATAATCAAACCTAGAACTAATTGGACCTATGCATAGATATCTTATATACACTAGATAGCACATCTCTTTTAGCAAAATTGAAGCCAAGAATATTCCAGCGGTTACCCCCATTTGAATAGATGGCGGCCATGTTGGTCGTTCCACTTGCTAATAAACGCTTAAAAACAACAATAACTTTCATCATTTGAATAGTTTAAAAACGTATTTGGAATAGGGTTAACTTAATGTTTAAGTTCCCTGTTTAAGAAATAGAAAACATACGAATCTTCTCATTTCATGGGAACGACCTGAGACTGCAATCATGGCTTCAATTTTTGAATTGCAGAATAATTAGATGCACTATCTAGTGTATATAAGATATCTATGGACCTATGGTAGTTTGCTTTGTGCTGTGTGAAGCCGGTCATTCACGCTTTAAAGAATGACTTAGCCTTACTAATTGAATACAAAAATACTCAATTCCAAAATTAACAAGAATGACGTTATTTAAATTTCACAACGACAGTAACAATGTTTCATCAATGATTTAATAATGGGTGTAACCACCACGCTTCTCGGTCACCTCAAGGCATCGTCTGCTCACCCGCCGTTGAGATATAGCCACCCATTCCTCCTGCAACAATTTGAGCCAAGCAGCTACATGCAGTGCTGTATTCTTCGAACCGATGATAGACAGATCGCTTTTGCTGGTCCCAAAAAATCTCAACTGGGTTGAGATCTCGCGAGTTCCCATGATCACATCATTCTCTTTCTGAGAAGATGATGCCTTGAAGTTATTGAGAAGTGTGGTGGTTACACCCATTATTAAATCATTGATGAAACAATTTACTGCTGTTGTGAAATTTAAATAAAGTGATTCTTGTTAATTTTGAAATTGGGTATTTTTGTATTCAATGGAGGCTAAATTATTCTTTAAAGCACGAATGGCCCCATTCTTCAAACAGCATCAAACAAACCACCATAGGTCTAATTAATGCTAGGTTTGATTATCAGGTAATCATTTATTAAGAACTATGATGGTATATTTAGGGGGGGACTTTCTTTTTGTGCGGTGTTTACGTTTTTAACTTAAATATAATGCATGATAGTGCTAGGAAAGCATTAGGAACAGTTGACCAAGGTCGAGTGACTGCATGCCAACTCTCATGCACTTTCATCCTCATTTCAACTCCGGGCTTTATTCATTTACATATACCCAATAAGCCGCAATACCTCGAGAACAATAAAGAAAAGTTGTGAGTTTACTAGTACTTTCGTTTGAACGAAATTCAATATCGATGTGAAAGTTTCCTTGACATGTTTCTTTGAAAAAGTTGACAAGTACGTTAGTACGGTCAACAATGGACCATTTGCATTATAGACTAAATTTTGATCTAGACAAATATTTCATCACAGCTTGAAAGAGCATCACAAAATTAGTAATATTCCAAAGTTTCGTTGCGAAATGTTGTAAAATGCGGATAATATATAGGCTTGCGAAATTTGCAATTTTCAGTCATTTTGTATTACAAACGGGAAATCGATGCCGATTGGGCTGTCAATTTTCCGTGCGTAATACAAAATGACTGAAACACGACAAACTTCGCATCGCTATATTATCCGCATTTTACAACATCTCGCAACGAAACTATGGAATATTACTAATTTTGTGATGCTCTTTCAAGCTGGGATAAAATTTTTATCTAAATCAAAATTTAGTCTATAATGCAAATGGTCCATTGTCAAGTCGCTTTGCTTGCTTGCGTGTTTTCTGGATAACGGGCTAATTTGCAGCTACGTTGGGTACAGTAGTTTTCAGTTATATACTGTACATACAAACACAACAGGCAAAACATGATTGAACTGTCATGGCTAGCAGTAACGTGTACAAAGATACTGAAAGTTAGGAGGGCTTAAAACTAGAGTGACGGGGGACATGTTTCCCCCGAAATAATTTGAAAAATTGAGGCTCGGAAATGCCATTTCTTGCACTTTCTGGCACTGAATTGAAGAATTTGGACAACAAAAAATTCTGAAAAAGAAGCTTCATAATTAGTTTTGGTCAGTTTGTATGACGTGGTGGGGGCTAAATTGCTGGCAAATTAGGCATAGTCGAACTGCCTGGCGATACAAGGAACTTTTAATAAGTTCCTTTGATTTAAGACCACCAAACGATCTTCCGATCAAAAGACTTTGGTTTCATGAGCGCTCCTTCGGTAATCTATAAAATTGAAACATACTTATCCCAGAAATGGTGTATATTATCAGCATATCCATATGCAGGTACGATGTCAGCCCAGAAAAGACACAAGGCGACAAGCAGTTGATATACTGACGTCCAGAACAGAAAGAACACCAAGTTCACACGACTTTTCGCAGCCGTTAGTTCCATTTTCAATCCTCGTTCTTCAATAACATTCATTATGGCCGCTGGAAGCTGAAACAAAAGAAATGTTATATTTCAGCAAGCGGTTAAAGTGCTCGTCTATTGAATACTGTATATAAAAAAAACAACTCGATCTCTAGAAAGGCAAGTTTAGAAAGTAGAATAAAATTAATATACTGTACAGTATATAATTTTAAATACAATTTCTTTTTCCTAAAGGTAAAAGCAATTTCTTTCGGAGAAGAGTTGTTGACTCAACAGACTTGTTACAAGTTGTTTCATAGTCTGTCAAGAAATGATGGTCAGGAACTAAACAGAAGTCGTTGTGCATGTTATGTTTTAATTTTGTCGGAGTTCATGTTAATTTGTGCACGGTCACGCAAGACGACCCTGGGAACAGGGTTGTGATTTGAGCTATTGTTTTTTCGTATAATTAAATAATTGTCCAATAGGTGTAGCTGAGAAGAAACGTGCAACCACGATGAATAATATTTAATGAAGTTGAGACAAAGATTTGCGCACGGTGAGATAAAGTCCAATATCAAATAAAGGCCTAGTCTATTTTGTAGCTTTGAAGCTCGCCAGGCATCAAGACCATCATATCTCGACGGACTTCGGTTGTTCCAACAACTTGCTATCGTCCTGGAGACGGTTGTACGAAGGCCGGTATAACCCATCAAGCGAATAGTGATTTTTCAAGCTTCCTAAAACGCCCCGTTGATTCGGTATAACCCAGATTAAACTTTAGTATTTGTAAATTGAAGTTTCCTTTTATTAATTGTAGGATCATATCCGTAATTTTATACCTTTTTAAGCATTTTTACAACGGTTGGAAAAATTACTTTCCGATGAATAACGCTATCCAGCCTTCGTACAACTGACGTCCCCTGAAATTTAACAATTTGCTAGCAAGTTGCGAGTGACAATCTAAACTTAAGTTACAAACTAAAGCCTTGGTCAAATCAAATGTTAACGAGAACAAGAGTTACATGAGAGTTGATTGAATATTACTTGTTGACGAGCTTACTACAAGCCTGTTGTAATCACATCTTGTTTATTGCATTGTTGACAAGATGTGAGGTTTTTGGGTGTGTGGGATACGCCTTGTTTTAAATTCAAATTGATACTCAGGACTATCACTCATTTAAATTAATCAAAACTAACAAAAAGAATACTTCAAAAATGTTTTACTTAAGCTTACTTACAAAACCAAACATGAAACACAGTGGCCACAGGATGCCTGCAAGCCCGCTAGCTCCACCTGAATCGCCTGCATCAGGGTCAATAGAAGTAAATATCTTGGGAATGAGGCAAATGAATAATGAAACCAATACAATCATGGCACAGGAGAATTTCCGAAGTGTTGGAACTTTACGAAGTATGAAATATCTAAATAGACAAATTGGATGAAATAACTCTGTAAAAGTATCGAATTTTCGTACTATACGGGTGGGTTTCACTACAACAACACAATCGTGTAACAGAATGGTGATCAATCGATAATCCTGATGAGTTTTACCCAATCTCGTACCCAAGCTCTTTTTGCTTCTGCGGTTGGACAGTCCGCGAAAAACGATCTGGCTTTGGCTGCTCTGTTCTGCAACATTGGTCAATGATTTTGAACAGAATTATTCAATGCAAGGATAATTTTTATTTTTGTAGGAGTGTGTATTGCCAATTTTGTATCTATAGGGGGACAGCAATACACAAATTTCAAATACTAATTTTTACCTGTGCTTTCAGATAAATTATCATACTAAACACCCCAAAATTCAGGGAGAAAAAAAAATTAAAAAGTAAATCAATCATGGGAGCAAAAAGCCCTGGGTACGAAATGGACTATAGACTAAATTGCATTATAGACTAAATTTTGATCTAAACAAGTCTAGATAAAAATGTCATCACAGCTTGAAAGAGCATCATAAAATTAGTAATATTCCAAAGTTTCGTTGCGAAATGTTGTAAAATGCGGATAATATAGCCTTGCGAAATTTGCAATTTTCAGTCGGCATTTTGTATTACGAACGGGAAATGATGCTCTTCCCGTGCGTAATACAAAATGACTGAAAAACGGCAAACTTCGCAAGGCGATATTATCCGCATTTCACAACAATTCGCAACGAAACTTTGGAATTTTACTAATTTTGTGATGCTCTTTCAAGCTGTGATGAAATTTTTGTCTATAGATCAAAATTTAGTCTACAATGCAAATGGTCCATTTCGTGGTTAAATAATTAATAATAGAGCATTCATTCATTAATTCATTCATTGAATATTCAAACGTGCGTAGAATAAACCACAGACTAGATAAGGACTTATATAGAATCTTTATTCTGTGGAATAAACGCTTTTTCAAGCCAACTCTCACGCACTTTCATCCTTGTTGGATCGCGCGGGCTATACTAGCGAAAAATGAACCACCTGCAATATCATAATATGAATTTCACCGAAACGCCTGCTTGAATTTTACTTACCGAAATGCCATTGTGAGAGGCAGCGGCGGATCTAGGATTTTTCGTACCTCAGTCAAAAATGTTTGGCGGACGGGGGCGTTGTCAGCGCGGGGCGTTGTCAGCGCTGGGCGTGGTCTCGACTGGGCGTGAAAAACGTATTTAGATTAAATTTAAATTGATAAACTCAAACGACCATTTGATTCTTATCCATTGTAAGAAAAACTACAAATGCACAAAGATATATTGATCCTATTCCAATACAAAATTTTATGGATATATTACTATGATATAGTACATTAAAACTCAGCAGCAATTTAATAACATGTTTGCCTGTGGATTAATCAATCGTCGTCATATTGATACTATATACCTATAAGTGTATCATTGTAAAACTTGTAAAATCATATGGCAGCAAATGCATTAAGGAAATATACTGTTCTGTTACCAAAAACGCAGAACTATACAAATAATTGCTAGTAGCCTCAGATCCAAAAAAACAACCAGATATTCCTTAACTAAGTCAAACACTATTACATTAACAAGATATAAAGATGTTATGTCAAATATTAATAAACTAGTTACATGAGAATGGGGCTACCAGTCAATGAGTTTTTCAAGATAGCTTATTAAATATTTCACATCATCATGTTACACCAGACCAATGCGGTCTAACAAGCCG